CCAGCAGTCAGGCCAAGGGGTCAAAGGTCCAGCTGGCTCCTACCCCATCTGCAGCAGTGGCCTTATGGGAGACTTCTCTAGCCTACTGTCCTATCACCAATCACAGCTTGCAGACTTGCCGATATCCTGAAGCAGGGATAATGTCTTTGTACTGACTGGATGTTTACAGATGTCTCTCTTTAGTTCGCATGCACTTTTGTAAGCACTTTTTGCAACCTCTAGAGGAGACTGCAAAGAAGAACTCCAACTGTACGAAAAGTAACTTCATTTTCTTCATTTTAAACTTGCCATCAGCCAGTTCGATTTGCTTCCTTTTAGCTTTTACAAGAGAATGAACAATGAGAAACTTTCCTACTGGTATCTCCATACCCCTCAAAGTTTCACAGGTTTTCATCATATCCTTTCCCAAGTCACCGCTTTTCCAAGCACCTTCCCATCTGCAGAGCCTTCTCCCTACCATTGACCTTTAGGATGTTAGAAGGATGGCTCAGCACCAGTGCTTAATATTCTGTGCTTTGCAAGACATAGGTGTCAGGTTTTTAGAGCCTCTAAGTTAAACTTTGCACAGAGGCATTAGAGGGGCAGGATGTCTCGTGATGTGGATGGCTGTGCCCCAGGAATGCAGGCTTCATACTCTACAGAACCTTCCTTGTCATATGTGATTTCCCTGACTTTGATCGAAAGTTGAAATCCCATCACCCTCAAAAACACTCTACAGCTGTTCCTTCTGCCCTCATTCCTCTCAGATCAACAGAGGTTTGAAGATTTGAGTTATAACCTTTGAAGGACCAGGCCATCTGATATCTCTTTGGATAACCTAAAGAATAAAGCTATAACACTGCCTTTCATGGTGATCATGTTATAGAATTAGATAGTTGCCCATGTATAATAATCAGTTAATTAGCATATTCATGTGTAAAACAAGTGAATGACCACACAGTAAAGGGACACAGATTTATGAGCAGAAATATGACAGACTACATCTAATGCCACAGGGATTAAACACTATGTCAGGGTTTAATCCCAGCCAGCATGCAGCCACTCACTCTTACCCCACACCATGGTGAGATGAGGAGGAGAACTGGGAAAAAAAAGGGAAAACCCACGGGTTGAGATAAGAACAGTTCAATATTTGAAATATTTGAAATAACATAAAATATAATAGCAATGAAAAGGGTGGGAGCGTGTAAACCCCAAGGAAAATAGAGAAGCAACCCTCAAGTGATGCACAATACAATTGCTCACCTCCCACTGACCAACACCCAGCACAACCTGAGCAGCAATCAGTCCCTTCCAGGTGACTCCCCCCAGTTTACATACTGGGCACGATGTGCTGTGGTATGGAATACCCCTTTGGGTAGTTTGGGTCAGGTGTCCTGTCTCTGCTTCCTCCCAGCTTCCCATGACCCTCCTCATTGGCAGAGCATGAGACTGAAAAGTCCTTGATCAGGGTAAGTGCTACTGAGAACAACTAAAACATTAGTGTGTTACCAGCATTGTTCTCAGACTGAAGTCAAAACACAGCCCTGCACCAGCTACTAGGAAGAAAATTAACTCTATCCCAACTGAAACCAGGACACGCTACCAGGGCTGAAAGATGACAATCAACAGTGAAAAGTTAAGAATCAGAACAGAGCAGCGGCAGCTGAATCACACCTACCCAGGAAACCCACTTGAGAGCAGTTCACAGGAGCACCTAAAGATGCATTATTTTTCACTTTTGTTTTTCTATCTAAGCACAATTGCTTGGTATGTGCATACACGCTTCTGTACATAAAAGGCATTCTCTACAAGGCTGAGATATTTAAGTCTGAACAGAACATCTTCAGCTACTGCTTGAGCCATGACACAGTGAATTTCCTGGCTTTCAAAGTCACACAAGACCTCACATCAACACGAATTAGGTTTTTAGCCACAGCTGCTATTATCTTCTGGTTTACCACTAATGTTGTGCTTTGCATGGTATGTATTCTAATACAAACATCATTTAGGTTTTAACTTAGAGATGTAACTGAGGCAATGGCCTGGAGAAGCAAGGCCAGTATCTCTGCTGTCCTCCTGGAAAAGCAGAGGATTTGCCCTCTAACAAGTGCCTCAGACCTCACATTATTGCCCTACACTCAACATGGCAATAGCATGATCCTGCAGGTGTTTGGCACTAGCAAAGCTGAAAAGCAGTGCTATAATAAGGGGGCAATTTCAATCTTGTCATCTCAATCTTTTCAAAAGTGAGATAACTTTAGTCTACCAAAACTTAAGGTGTGAGAATTAGGATACAGAGCAGTGCACAGCACACGCACAGCCACCATCGCACCGGCTGCAGCTTTTTGAAGTCCACCATCTCTGATCCAGTTTCCTAGCACTGGCCCATACTCATAAAAGTGAAGGAAACAGAAAAGTGTCACTGCTAGAATGGAAAAGAAGAACTCATGCTCATGCAGCCATTATAGCACAGCAGGCAAACAGAAAAGGCCCATGTGAATCCTCTCTTTCAGATGTTCTCCTATCTGGGAAGGGTTTAATTTCACAGGCTTTCCTCTCTTTTTCGGGAGTACAGATGGCAACTAGCATTGCAGGCACTTGCATCCCAGCTCCCTGTAGTTCTGGTACTTCCCCCTCACAGGCACTTCTGATGCCAAGATATCAACATGGAATTCTGCCCCTACATTCAACAGTGATCCATCATATGAACACCATCTCCATGGCTGATCCCCTCAATTACAACCCTACCCTTTTCTGCTGCTGAAAGCTAACCTTGGCACCTGGTGGCTGACCCTGAAGATGATCTTTTGTGTTTGGGGAAAAATTATACACACAGAGCCGTTTTGGGCACCTCAATATGAGAAGAACAGCAGACTCATAGATTGTGTCTACAGCAGGGTGACCAAAATGGTGAAAGGCCTTAAGGGCAAGACTTGTGAGGAGCTACTGAGGTCACTTGGATTGTTCAGCTTGGAGAAAAGAAGGCTGAGGGGTGACACCATCACAATCTACACCTTTCTCAAGTTGGGCAGTGGAGGGAGGTGCTGGTCTCCTCTCTCTGGTGACCAGTGATAGGACATGAGGAAATGGAATGAAGCTGCATCCAGGGAATTTCAGATGGGACACTAACAATAGGTTCTTCACTGAGAGGGCAGTCAGTTACTGAAACAGGCTCCCCAGGGAAGTGGTTACAGCACCAAGCCCATCAGAGTTTGAGGAGCATCTGGATGATGCTCTTAGTCATATGATTCAGTTTCAGGCAGTCCTGAGAGGAACAGGGAGTTGGACCTCTAACTGGAGACATTCTGTGATTCTGTGTCTCCAGGCTTCCTTTTTAACCAAGCCAGCAATGTACAGATGATATATCCTTGCTTTCAATCAGCAACAGCAGTGACACTCAGCCACTGGGCAGACATGGGGCACAAACACACTGGGAATCAAACACACAGATGCTGCCTCGGCTGGCAGGAGTACCAAATAAACAACACAAGCTGGCCATAAACTCAGGGATGTCCATGCCTACACATTCATTTGGGCCAGTAAATGTTGTTTGGCTGTCTCAACCAAAGAAGTTCTACAGAGACTGCGGGATCTCTTTATTTTTCCCTCTCCAGTTGAGATTTGCAGATGTATTTTCCTAGGCATGACAAAAATACAGATGGAGTGATCTTTTCCTGACGCTTTCCTGCAGAGATCGAAACATAAGAAAACAAGAACTTGCTTCAACTGCAGCACAACTTCTACTGTAAACACTGTGTTTCCCATCAAACTGACTCTCACTACCTGCCAAACGCGAGTTGGTTTCCAAAGGCTGAATCCTGAGTCTCAAAGGCTAAATAGTGGCTGTCAGCCAGAGGTCTGCAGGAAGATGGATGCAGAAGCGTGCACCTTATAGCCCCCATGGCTCTAGCCTTGCTCAATAACAGTTCCTGCCATGAGCAACCCTCATTTAGATTGAATGTCATATGATGCATTACCACTATATACAATCATGATCATAGAAAGAACAAATGAGAAGATGCAATGGCCATAAGTGCCATGTTCTCGCTAGTGCAGCATTCTTCCTTTCAGACCACAATCCAATATTTCTTTAAATTCCCTGAGCAATTGGGTAGTCACGGACCTTGAGAAACAGCTCCATAGGGTCTTCATCCCATTTTTGGCATGAACCATGACTTCTTCCTGAATACATCCATCTATCTCCCCGACCCCCCTGTCAATCTCTTCCCCACAACTTGAAAATTCATTTTGGTGATAAGGAAAACACCCACAACCAGATATGATATGGAGCTACAGAGAGGAAGAGCTCCTTCTCCTCTGCATTATAGGTCTTCAGTCCTATTTTGTTATGGGGAATGGGAAGTTTGCAGCCAGAACTGCCTGGAAAACACAATCTTTTTAAATGAAAATTAGTCTACTCAAGCTACTTGTTCTGCATTGTCGATCATCATTAAACTGGTTTTCCAAGACAGATAATCTAGCAATTTTCAATGGTTAGTCTGTATCCTCAATTTTAATCTCCAAGTCTTATTACTGTCCTGCCTAGTATTTGCAGCAAGATAGTCTGGCTTTTGACCGACCTTCAGGTTATTAATGGAATTATCCAATGAAAAGAAACAGTGTGACAGTCTCTTCATGACCCAAATTTAATCCTGTTGAAAATTCAATAAACTCAAAATTATACTTTCTCTTTGGTTTTCATCCTTCCAAACAGCTGCTTTACTGCATTATCCTCTACAAACTCACTGCTGCTTACACAAAGCAACGATCATGATTTCCACTTGATAGCATTTTAAATGGCCAATGCACAAAGGAAACTCAAAGAATATGAAGGGGAAAAGCAACGGACACTCAGAATCCATTCTGCAGGAGGAGGCATAACACAATATAAAAGTTCCCCACAAAGATCCAACTGTATCACATCTTCATCCTGTGCACTCCAAAAGCAACCTCTGAGCTATGGAAGGCAACAGCAAGCAACTCTCATTTAATTAGTCCAATGAAGGATTAGATCTTACCTTTTCTCCTTTTTCTCCTCTGCCATAGACTCTGCCCTAGAAATAAAAAAAGAGGGGAAAAGGTTTGTCAAAGGACATTGTAAATATGTATTTCATCTTTTTCTTGTTATATATCTGAACTATATCTATCCATCCATATATATAACATCTCTTTATATATCTCTATATATGCACAATTCCTTGGTAATAATTCAGTAACAAACTTAAATGGAAAACCTATCCCCAGTTGTCCCACTGCAGTCGGGAAAACATCGTATTTTTTATTCAGGGCAGAGTCTGATATTACCTTTCCAAAATCAAAGATGCCAACAGTCCTTGTTAAGATGATTTTTACATAGGGCTTAAGATTTTCCCACCTAAAAACCCAGCCTGACATTTGCATTAATTGCAGCTGAGGAAATCTGTGTCTTGGTCATACTGAATGTAAACGAGTTGAGAGACTTGCATCTTCTTTGTGTTCAGTTGCCTCATACTGTCCCCATTAGATGTATAGCTGTGCTATAATCAAATACACTCAAGTTACATATTTTAATTAGAAGGCCAATACTAAGTCATTTACCAGCTTTATTCAGGGATGAACCCATCTATTCCTCCCACTTCAAGAAATCACAGTGGGTGCCAGAAAGATTAGCTTCCCCCTAGGATTAAGGCCCAGCAGAGGGAACGTATTCCACAGTGCAATTGACAGGGTGAGCAAGTTCTCACCATAAATGAGAAAAAACTACTTGCATTTCCATCTCCTTACGTAAAATCATTCTGTATTTCTTACTTACTGACTCTCCTTTTTCTCCTCTGAGTCCAGGAAGCCCTTGGGTGCCACTTTCTCCCTTGAAAAAGAAAGGATGTTAATATCACATATATAACTGGAACGGAACAGGTGAGATTTCCTCTTACAACTTCCTGTTGGGCTCATAGTGTTTGTATTTTCTAGTCACCTTTCCACCATTGTTTTGGGAAGCAATGAACAAGGGTTTGACTGAGATTGTAGATGCTTCTGGTCCCACCAGTCTCTACAGCCAAGATTTCAGCTCCTGCCATGAGGCTGGTGTACCTCATTGTACTTGTACTGACTTGAATGTCCAAGTTCTCAAATTGATTTTATAACCTATTTTCCATATGAAAATACTCCTAGAAGACTTAAGAGTGCACTGGTAAGGCAGAGAGCTTTCTCTTGGGAGGTCCTTCAAAAGGTCTTACTTTCTATTAAGCCAGGAAGGACATGAAAAGATGGTTTGCATAAGACCTAGAGGGTGCACACCTAAAATATGGCAAAAAATAAACCAGTAAATATTGTCAAGATTTTTAGAGCTATTAAAAAGAAAAATATCAAACCCAATTGTTTTCATTCATAGTAAATTTTTATTACCAGCTAAATCCTGCCTTCTGTTGCAGGAGTGTGCAGAACACACAAGGTCATTTTCCCTGGTGGCTCCAATGGAAGAGAGGGAAGGGAACACAGAAGAAAAAAGAGCTGAAAACATACAGATTGTGATGGGTAGAGGAATGAAAACTGGAGAAGTAAATACATGTAGAAGAAAAGAGAAAATGGTTAATCAAAACCCAAGCAAAACTTTTTCTTCATGTCTCCTAAAAAGGACAGGGGCAAAAGGGATAAAAACCCTCAAAGCTGATGCATAATTACATAAATATTCATCAGGTACAGAGCTAAAAGTGGTGCCAAAACCAGCAAGTGCAGTGAAAATACCTGCAAGTCATTTTCATGTGCTGCTCTGCAGTCACAAAACTGGAAGAAGGACCAGCTGAGAATATACCCATTGCTAAGACAAGTTTAAAGCTATGTGCAAAGTTGCCACCAGTTCCTTCAATTCCCCTAACATGGGGAGTTGCTGAAGAGCAGAGGGCTTTGCCCTCACACCTCTACCTAGCTCCTGCCCGATTCTCACCCAAAAGGCATATATCAGAAATATGCTGTGCTGAGCTCCCCATCCATCACTGACAAAATCTCCTTGCCTATTTGTGCCTCCACCGTCTTTTGCTTGGAGGGAGTTCAGACACTTTGAACTTTGGCTTAGACTGGCATGAAGCTGAAAGCGTCTCAGACCTGAAGCAGGACCCTCCAGTGCCACAGCAGCAAGAAGTTCAGTGAACCCTGTGCTCCCCAGATCTCACCATAGGGTTTAATTTGTGGCTCTATTTGATTTATCCTGATCTATGTCCCCCCAACAATGTGTTTAGCTGAAACCAGTCACTGAAACCTTTGTCAGAATCATGCTTTCTTTTCCCCAAGCGAAGATAGGCTTTTGAAAGCACAGGAAATATGAAAGTTTCTTTCTTTCTTTAACTTTTATCCCTTTTTTTTTTTTTGCCAAAAAGAAAAATGGACCAAGCAGCATATATGCAAAAACAGAGTTACAGTCAATTCAAATGGCTGTGGCAAAACTCAAACATTTTTATGCAGCCATCACTTTTAAGTCAGTTAAAGTACACCAAATCTCCATTTTAATTTGGAGGAAAAGAGAACATTTCACTACAGCATGTCTAATACACTGAACTTCACAAAATCCCCAAAGACAGGCGAGCAATGTCATTTCTACAATGTGAACAAATCCAGATCTCAGAGGAAAGTGATTCTCTCTAAACTCAGATCAATTGCAGTGCTGGAAGAAAGCAGAAGCTGTTGACCAACAGCCCAGTGCCCCAGCCAGCCAGCCTGGCTGCCTGCAAACACAGCATGCAGGGTAGGTATGGAAGGAAAGTAAATTAGACTGAGCTGTCGTTAGCATCTAGAATTTAGCAATAAGACCCAGCTTCAGGCATGTTAGTCGATTCTTTCAAAGCTATTTCCTGCCTCATTCTTCCCCTCTACAATCCTTTATTACACCTCCTTCCAAAGCGTGCTCGCTCTGTCTCTATGTATTATCCTTAGTTTAGAAGCATGGGTGACTCAGGCAGAGGTGTTCATCGCTGAGGGTTTTTTTTCCTCCAATAGCTGCAAGCACTCCTGTTTTGCCCTGCCTTTGGAGACTTAAATTAGAGAGGAACAGAAACTCATTATCATCCCACACTGATTATACAATTCAAGTATTTTCACTGGTCAGATGGTACCAAAAGGAAAGTCTGTACAAACCTCCTTCCCTAAAAGAAGGAACACGTTATGGGAGCTCAGGATAGCAGAGCCTGAACACCAGTCTCTCCATCTTCAACTCAGACAACAGCTTCACCCACTTAACAGACCTTCAAACTGTGCTTTTTCAAAAAGGAAAGCAGAAAGAACCACAAAACCATTATTCCTTCTTTGGATAAAGGGAGAAAAAGCCACCAGTCTAAGGAAACCAAACACTGCCTTAGCTTGGAGAAGGAGCCTCACAGACCCCCTACCTTTGTCAGCCTCTCCAAAGTTCCCTGTTCTGGGACAAAGGGGAGTTTTTATAACACTGACCTGTCTCCCTATCAGTATTCCCTGGTGGGTCTCGTTTCTCATGTAAATCCCACCAGCTGTGTGCTGGTTTTCTAATACAGCTGAACCAGTTGCTTTGTGAGTTCTTATATGGCCATATAGTCTCTCACAGGTTATTTCTCATTATCAGTTATCAGACTGTAAAATATCCCTTGGACCCATTATTTAGAGGTAGAATTCAGCTTTGCAACTCATCCCAAATAAGAGATACTCAGTAGTAATGGTGTCTATAGAGAAAATGATTATTTTTGACTCAGAGTCCTGCCATCCCTGCTCATGGTAGGGGGTTGGAACTCGATGATCTTTAAGGTCCCTTCAACCCAAACTATTCTATGTTTCCATCTTTTCCTGACAATTTCTTTCCTTATTCATTTGTTCACTCCCTCCTCTCTGTTTAGTCAATCTTTTCTTATGCTGTACCTGCTTGCTAGCCTGTTTTAATCAAACCTAAGAGTATAGTAGAGATCTTATAATTATTTTTAGTGTGGGCCCTCATGAGGCCTTAGTCCTTCATTAATTAAGTATCAGGTGGTAATATTGGGGAATTGCAAATAGCATTGGCTTTCTGTCCCACGGCCAGCATTTTAGCCTGGGTAGCTCAGTTATGTTTCAAAGAGAAGGGGGGAAAGTGATATTAGCTCCTGCATATAGAGCAGGGACTGTCACAAGCTGGTCCTTGGCAATAGTGATGCAGTAACTGCTGTCAAGGGTGATATACATTATTTAATCATAACATCTTTGCAAGTCAGGAGCATAATCTATTCCTTGCCTTATTTACCAGATAGAGAAGCTAAGTCAAGTCTTTTGTCTCAAATCAGCACATTTGTACCAAATTGTTGTCAGAGCCTGGATTTAAATCCCAAGACTGCAACACAGCCCTGCCTCATCTGAATACAAGTCTTGGACCACAACAGCCAAGGAATAGTCAAACACATCTGCATTGCTCCTCAGCAATCCACCTGCAGGAATGAGATGGACATTTTGGGATCTGTTACAGAAAACCTGCTGATGCTGTGCTTATATATAAACTATTTTGTATTCAAGCAGTACCTCCTGCCTGCCAGCAGTGTGCCATGTTACACAGATAGACACCCTCACTAGCACATAGACCTTGTCAAAGCAGTGAAAGACAATGGGAAGTTGCTGCAGGGCTCTTTTATTATTATCATCGTCGTCCTTCTGCAACCTCCCAACAATAGTCATGGCTCTGCCATTCTTCAAAACAGCCCATCATTATTTAAGCTGTCACAGATTAAAATAGAAAGTTGCTATTTATACATGCATGGGAGCTTAAGGAAACATCTGCAGTATCAGTCAAACATATCTGAGCAGTAATGCGCCCATGTTCCTTCATGCCAGCAGAAAACATACTCCAAAACACATCTCCTCATCAGCCAGAACTTCTCACTGCAGACAGCAGATGAAGCCTCCCCACAAAACCCATAACACATTTATAAGGATGTCTGGCTTTCCAAGGCCCGGAGATTTGTCCTTTCCCTTCCCAGTTTTCCGTAACAACTGAGTAACTTTTGGTGAGATGCAATTTGTTTATTCACCAAGAAGGTATAAATTCAGTGAACATGCATTAGTTATTCAGATGGAAATAGGTTTGAATCCAAATTGTTCCCAAACATCTTTTTAACAACAGGGATAGTGAAATTGGGAACCAACACCACTGACTGCCATCTCTTCAGCAACGTTGAGTCTTTTTTGTCTCCAGTACATGTGCTCCCTTTAAGCCAGCTGTCTCACAGCTCTATTTGTGACCAAGGACAGAAGGAAAATGTGTGTGTGTTCGATGCACACATGTGCATATCAAAGAAGGTAGCAGAATATGCAGGATAATGTAGAGGGTGCACTGTAAAACTTGAAGCACATATCAGAACCAATCTCCTACCCTGTTATCTAGGAAGGACACTACTGAAGAAAGTGGCCTCTATTTAACACCATGACTCAGACAGTCTTGCTAAGGATAACAGGTTGTGGCTAATCCTTTACCCTAGTCTCAGGAAATGTTGTAGAGCATGACCAGGAGGCTGTAGCCTAATCTATGGATACCTACTAGTGCTGAACAAGGCACGGCACAGAAGCAGCACATGGGTTTGCAGGTAACGTATCCTGAAAGCTGTGCATGACCTAGTGGATAACACTAACTTGCAAATATACCACTTTAGAAGCTACAGGAAAAGATGTGGAACACAGTCTAAGGATGACATAAAGTAAGAACAGAGAAGCTCAAATGAAAGCCTAGAGCAGAGACACAAGGCGGTCTGAGCCTCTTACAGTCCCAGGCTCATCCAAAATTGTCTGAACTCAGTCAGATGCTAAATTGACTCTTATTTCTCAAACTCTTCAACTCCTCAACTTACTTTGGAAGTGTTTTGTTGCTTTTTATGAAGCAAATGAACTAGCACTTATTACTGACCTTTTGACCTTTAGGACCTGCAGGGCCAATTGGACCTCTTTCCCCCTAAGACAGAAAGACAGACATTAATCAGACTGACCTTCTCACTATATAGCAAAGCAAAGCCCTGGAAACAACTGGAAACAATCAAAATGTTTTCAGGTTTGAGTGGGGAACAGACCAAACCAGACATGCCCTCAAAAGCCGTGCCAATGAACCTGTTTCCTCAGATGTCTTAACCACAGCAAATGTAGGCAAGCACACTGCTTTTAAATCTATGAGACTTTTTCAATGTGGCTGTATTTACCTCCAGAATATCTTCTGTTTTACTTGAAGAAGGATGCACATAACTGGGCTGGATAAGAATAACCACTTTGTTTCCAAGGTTTTTACCAGGACTGTCAACATGATCAAAATCACCAGATTAGGTAAAGAGAAAACATGTGGGGAAGACTTCCATTACCTCTACTGACATTCCACCTCTGAAATACACATGCCTGGCTCTTTTTATGAAGTGTTTTCCACCTCTAGGTCTTAAAGTGCTTCACAAACACCCACTTGCATGGTGCCAAACCCCTCTTTCCAGACCTATCCAGCATTCTTCATATAAGACACACTCATCTCAACACTCACCTTTTGTCCAGCAGGGCAGGAGCAGTTGAATGTCTTGAGGTGGCCAACTTGCTCGCTGCCAACAGTGGGCCTTACTTCCACGGGAGGTGCTTCAGTCAGGACAGTGACCTGGCACTACACCCAAACACTCAAGGTCATGACAAAGGTTTCAGTGCTAAAAGCTTCCTCTTCTACCCACTTCAGAGAAACTGCATAGGCATTACTGGATAACACACAGCTGAATGAGTTCTAGTGAGGAATGACATCCCACAAAAGCCATTCATTCAAGCAATAGGGGAAAATGTGGCAACATGAACAATCAATCTCTTTAACCAAGATTGAGGGGACAAGAGTAGAAGGAGGGTGGAAGTTTGGGCACAGGAAACAAAGCAGTAACCAGCACCATTTAAGCTCTTCCCAAAAAAAAAACAGTGGGAAACATGCTGAATATTTCAGGCTGCATTTCTGTTGTTCCATCATCACTTCGGGGTTTTGTTTCCCCTGACAGTTTGACAAGGAAAGATGAACTTGGAAACTTTAAATTCCTTATACTTATCCCTCTGGGGTGGTCCTCTTCTGGCACTGCTGCATTACCAATTATATAGCTAGGTTTCATTCACCATCATTAAACAAATTATAATCCCACACTGCCAAATATTCCCTGATTTATGTAATAGTTTTCAGTGAAGAGTGTTCATGTGAAAATGAATAAGTGACAAAAAGAATCTTACTGGTCCAGAGGGAATGTCACAGCAGGTCTCCAGCTCAGCATGCCGAGAATCACAGTAAATAACCATCCGCTGAAGATCAAACTAGAAGACAAAGTGAGGCAATAGTCTCAGAGACAGTGAATTATTAAAGACTGCATGTTCTTTTGCTTGGAAAGAAACAGTGCAGATGAATACAAATAAAAAACAGAGGGGGCTAACTTCCTAGTGATTCTATGGATCCTGTAGTCAGTATCCATCTCTCTCTATCGATAATGGACCAATATCTTGGCATGCTCCAAGAGTAGAGAGCTAATGAGACCCTGAATGTGCTTATTAGCATTCTGGTGCAGGTTTTCATGCACATAAGGAGGCATATCCTGGCCAAATTTCTGTCTGAGAAGACATATTCTGACCACCTCTATCCCTCCTAGAATTTCATCTAGACATAAAGTTTGTTTTTCTCCTGTTGTGCCTTGCTTCTTCCAAAATTCTACCCCTGCGTGACAAATGCTATTAACACATTTAATATGCACATTCCATTTATTTTGGACAGCTAAGAAAGATTACATGAGTCTCAAATCACCAAACAATCACACATAAATTATACCAGATTAACACTGCTTCTGATCAATCAGGTCCTACCTACAGCTCTAAACTTTGATTCAGTTGAATCATTTAATATCAGGTATCTTTTCTGAGGAACTGAAAACATGCCATGACTCTCCTGAGTTAACAACCTTTCTTTTTTCCTCATCTCTTCCCTTCATATATGGACACATTCATAATGCCATGATCAGACAGCAGAAGACCTTTACATGTGTAGTTCAGTGCCCAGTTTGATGGTATTTGTGGATGATTTTGTCTCTGATTTTCACTATAGCATATTCTGGGACAAGACAGAAAGCTGAAATGGATTCCTCATTTTTAATCCCTATTATGGAGGTACTGACAGTCTCACATAAAAATGCAGCAAGTCCTGTACATGATGCGATGCCAATCTGTCTTATTAGCTATGTAACACAGGTAATGCTTCAGTGATGCTGCTTCAGGAAAAGGGGCAATTGCAAGATAACTCCTAAACCCCTATTCACATCCTGCAAACCCAATGCTGAACGTCACCCCAGCTCTAACCAGAACACGCAGTACTTACATCAATGGGGACGCTATCATACAAGCGTTTGCCAATCACAGTCTTTCCTTGAATGTCAATATTTTCCCTGTCTTCAATAGGCAGCGTCTGCACCAGTTTGCAGTCTATGTAGAGTGAGACAGATTTTGACTGAATGCTGAAGGCAATTTTGTGCCAGCTGCGGTCAAAAAGATCGCTGACTCTTTCATTTCGGAAGACCACTCTCACAGCGTCCTTGGTGAGCCCAACGGCGTTGTACTCTAAAGCTTTGTTCTCTCCATCCAGCCGGATCGAGACCTGCAAGCAGACAGAAGTGATTTTGCTAAGGAAGTACAAAGCCTTCTGCTTCCTCTTGCCTGCTTTCTGCCATGACTGACAGCCCAAAGTCAGGGATGGTACAGCTTGTGGTGAGATGCCCAGGCAAAGGATGGAGGACAGAGTTTTGTGTGACATATGCACAGGGAGTCTATGCCTGTTCTAGTAAATAAGACAGGGCAAGGCACAGGCTTGGGTGCAGACCCATGACCATCTAAAGCCTTCTCTTGTGAGTACAATCCTTGGCATGGTTTCAGCACATGCCACCCTGATGCCTCCCAGGCAATGCTTGGGCTTGGTTGGGTGGTAGCACACATCACGGGCATCTCCCCAAAGGCAGATAGACAAAGCTGAAGCTGTTTCGGATCCCTCTATCCTGTGCACTTCTCCAGTACTTCCTAGCAGGCTCTGTGCTCTTTAGTGCCATCACATGTCCTCAACTATCCCATGGGACATGGACATACATGCCTGGTATGAAATTAATCTACTGAGCATGTAGCGCAGAAAATCATGTTTTGTTTAACAGCCGATAATAGCTTTTATATAAATGTGTTACCATTGTCTGAAATTCAGTTACCTGAATCCTCAAATTGCACCTATCCTTCCTCCACTGTGAGCTCCCCAAATCCTTTTAAACACCACTCCTAAAGCAGCAGTACTATGTTAAATGACTAAGTGAGCCCATACCAACAGCCCAGTTGAAAGACACTGGAAATGTCATCAGCACCATGTTTGTACTGAGCAGAAAACCTACAGCCCACCCAAACAGCTGCCTCCTCAAGCATGCTCAAAACCCTAACATATGGCATGCTACTAAGAACATGTTATATAGGAACAGGAAGCCCTTTATTACACTTTAATGGTATATTTCTTCTGAGAGTATTTGACAGATATTAGATCAAATTCTTTAGCAGCCAAGACTCAGGATTGTGGCACAGTAAGTTCCTCATCCTGAGAACATCCATATCCTGAGCAGGGAACCCATAATGCGTTTGCATGGTAGCTAGAATTCTGTGCAAAAACTGGACGTAGCTCACTGCTCTGTGCCAAAGTACATCTTCTTCCAAAGAAGTAAAATATTTTCCCTAAGCAGAACTACCTGAACAAAAAAATCAGAAATCCAAAAATGGTTTCAAGAGTGAGGACAGTGTATTTTTCACCACCTTTACAACTGTCTGCATGCTAACAACAATCAAGGTCTATGCAAACCTACCTCCAGGGTTTGAATGAAAAGTAAAGGATTTTCACCAGAATTAACTGAAAGACAGGTAAAAGGATATTTACTAGTCCTCAAGGAAAAAGGAGTGAGAAGATAAGGCAAGAAAGCTGCTTCATGCAACAAAAGATAAACAAGGCTTCTCTTGCTGTCTCAAAGGGTCTCTTACCTGTGGTATGCCGTACTTGTCAATAATCTGCCAAATATACCAGTCTTCTTTCCTGGAAGCCTTCCGGAATTTGAAGGTAGTTACAAAGGCATATTCATCAGGGAGACCTTGGGGAAATACATCCCTGGCACGGGGAGGGGAAAAGAGAGCTTAGCAGTGAAGAGCAGAACTTCTAAAACTCTCTGCATGTCCCAGCAATGCTTTCCAAGTGTGTCAAAGAGTTCCTACAAAATCTGCCTGCTGGATTTGGCAGCCTGCAGAGAGATGAGTCTGAGCTTGTGCCCTCCAGGCAGTTCTGTCCTCAAGGAGCCCTTTTTCATTCCAATGGTGAAGCTCTCAAATTATGTAAGAAACAGTGAAAACTTTCAGCCTAGTATCCATTCAGTTGGTTTTCAGTTTATGAAACCTGTAAATCATTCTGCTTTTCTCCAGATGCACTGGAGACCTGTGGCATCTGACAATAGGCAGGCGTGTCTGAAACCCGCTATAAATGTACCAAGTCATAGCAACAAATATCATATTATTTGCCCCAAAACAGTCACTACACCTCATGCCTGTCCAAGAAGATGTTCCTTGGCTGATGGCCTGGGAGAGAAGGAGAACCTTCTCAAACCAACATCGAAAACACATTAGGCAGAAATTTACTCAGTGCAACACCATGATGTGTGTATACGTTTGCTGTAACCAAAACCAGCACTGTTTGACTAAGCCTAAGCATAAGAACATACCATAACATGAGCATGCAGAAGGGTTAACTAACTCAGTATCATTATTTATCCATTACTGGATGCCTAAGAACGAGAATGAACAGAACAAACACCCCTCCTAGCTCCAAATCTGGGATCTAGGGATCAAATTCAGATACAGCTGCAATTCCTATATTAATAACTTTTTATGGATTTATCTTGTACAAAATTCTCCAATCTCCCCTTGAACTCAGGTATATTTATTACATTCACAACACCCTTTGGCAATGAATCACACTTTGCTATCCACTGTATAATGAGCCTCTTCTTGTTTGTTTAGGACCTAGCTCAGTTCTTACAAGGAACAACACAATTAACTATTCTTTTTCTACATTTTATGCCATTCATGATTTTGCAAACTTCTCTCATAATGCCTCTGAGACATCTCTTTTCCCACCTGAAGAGTCACATTTATCTTTATCGTTCCCCATGCCCAAGCCAGCTTGCTCCTCAGAGCATTCCTAAGAAGACGCTTCCTAAATATCATGGCTTTGCTGCTGGATATCTGAGCAGTCAGGCATAAGCATCCATTAGGAAACAAAGCATAATAGCTGGCTGTCATCCTAAATGATCCTATGATTCTACGATTCACAAACTAGCCCTCCCTGGTCACAGAGCCCACACACACCAGCACCCATAGCTGGTGACACACAAAATAGCCAGGCACTCCCTTCCTTCATGGCAGAACAAGAAGTGTGTCAGTTGTCTCCTTGTGGCAGAGTTGCCATGGAGAATAGTATGGGTATGAGTAGGGCACTGAAAGCCACTAAGGAAATTACAGGATGCTTGGCAAAAGAGAGACAGCTCAGTCACATCAGCCCTCCCATTAGGGCCTCCCGCCAGGTCTCCTTCAGCACTGACATGCCTTTGTGCAAGTTTTGTGTCCAAGTGTTTTTGTTCACTCATCTTGTCCAAGTTTGGCAAGAAGATGCATGCCTCAGCTCTTAGCATCACTGACAGTCTGGGCAGTTTTCCTTCCCCCCTCCAAGAAACTTCATCAAAATGGCAATGCTGACAGTTGAAAAGGCATTGCTTACTGCTCCATCCTCTTGAAGAGAAACCATGGATGTGTCTACATGAGAATGCTGCCAGAGGGGGCATTTCTCTGTGTCTCAGTTCCTCAAACTCTGTCATTTCAGCATACATGCCTAGTGCATTTACTTTCGCTCGCTCCTCACCATCATAACTGGGTTTAGTAAAGTTCCCTTTCTGTCCTGCCTTTTAAGATTCTGACTCACATTCTGGGCACAGACAGCCCTATTAAACTACTTTCCTAGCTATAACCCATCACTAACTCCAACCCCCTATTTAATGAAAAGCAAGCAGAGAAACAGTTCCTCATTTAATCCAGTGGTAACACAAGATAGTGGATTTACAGCTCTGAGGGTGCTTTGCTCTCTTCCTGATCCATAATATGTTTGCTATTGCCAAATCAACAGCAGCAGGACACATGCTTTCAATGCTGCTTTTGCCTAATGATTTTTAACCTCTGCCTATTCAGTGTGCTTGGTTCCAAGTACAAATTACAGTGGCTGTAACTGAGGCATCATTTCTTTGCTGAGCAAGGAGGTATAGGAGCATGTTGTTGAAATTAATCCCCCAAGATACCACATTGAGCCTTAGGCCTGGCAACCTGCAACCAACTCTGGAAGAGCCAGCTGTTAGCCTCTCTGTACTGAGATAGCCTGTCTGGGTACCTCTGAGCTGGGAACAGGAATATCACTGTGCAAGCTCATATTCAGAAAAGGGTTTCAGATTCTTAATGCCCACAGAAATAGCTGGGAGTTAGGTACCTAAACATCCTCCTGAGCCTGGCCACACCTCATCACACAGAGGCTGACAAATGGTCCATCAGGTAGATTTAAACTTATAGAAAGCTGTAATGACCTGTCAGCCCCAGCTGATTTTTAGAGGTGCAGAGGAACTGGCTGTAAGTTCCCAAAAGAGAAAGGCTTTGTACCAAAAGCAAATCTCAAGAAACTCTCATTGCCCTGAAGATACGATAAAAGCTGTTTCTGAAGTCCTTAGTACCTGCATCTTCTACAGAGATGCGTTACTGCATAAATAACAAAAACCTTATGAGTTTTCATTTATTTCCTCCCTAAAAAGTGATCTCCATTTAGAAGTTCAGCTTTATTTAGGAATCCAAGGGCAGGAATTGCTGTCCCCAGAAATGTTTTATTTCCTTCTTTCACCCAAGGCTGAATTGAACTGATGATCCATATTATGGAGCTTTGCTGGATGCCTGGTACCTGCAGGGAGCACTCTGCCAGCTCCTTGGTCTATAATTCTGACAACAGGATAGATTGCAGAAGAGGCCCTTATAAAACTCCAAGACAAGAGAATCCCCTGGTGCTGCAGGTTATTCTAAGAGTTAATTAACCCAGCTACAAGGTCAGGTGAATCTCTTCTACAAAGAAAAGAATTATAGTAACCAGTCAGAAGACTCTTTTAGGCATTCCTCATTTTCAATATATAGCCTCCTTCTCACATGCTTTTGTTTGGCATAAGAGCCTACATCTGTAACAACCAGCATGAGACCCTACATCTATAATAATAACACAATGGAGAAAAATAAGATTATCAGTTCTCATTTCAGACACTGAATGGAACAACAATTAATAGGATGTCTGCACTTACTGGGAAAGAGCATAACTAATGTAGTTGGGACATATGACCATTTTTCACTAATATGAAATGTGACTCACTAAGGTCTGACAAACAAGGTTGGAGAAAGCCAGTTCATTTCCATGGGCATCACATCACCAGTGGCTCTTAGAATGACAAAAGAAGAGGAAAAACAAGGAAAAAGGCAAAGGAAAAGCCGTAGGACAAAGGATTGTCACAACACAGAACCAACCCCATCCGTACGTCCTTGGCAGCAGATTTTTGGCTTCTACTTCAGAAACCTGTGATGCGACATAACCTCTAAGGTGATTTCTTCACATGTTTCACTATCCAACATGCTGCAAAAAAAAAGTCTGTCCTAAATATCACTTGCTGTAGTTAAATCTTCCTAAAACAACTTCCCCCCCCCCACCAAGGAAGCACGTGAACAACTTGTTCTCCTCTCTTTGCTGCAGCCTTTTATGTGTTTGTCAGCTCTACCTTCAGTTGTTTACTCTCTAAAAGACAAATCCCCACACTTCAGTCATTCCCCTTCAGTCATGCTTAATCTCCTTACACTGAGAAGACTCAATGCCTATATCCATAAATAAAGGTGAGAGTCCATTTGCTATTTATGAGTGCAGATGAACCAAAAGCTCTTTTCCCAAAGAGAGTGATCATAACCAAACTGCCTTTGGGGAGCAGTTTCTGGCATGCCCCATCCTCCACACTAGGCCGAGGCATTGTCAGCGTTAACATTGCTTGCCATCAGCCAAAACAAACTTGAAATGAACACAGAAGTAGGTGAAGAACACAAATTATATGGGTCTAGTGCTAGGGCACATGAATTCACCCTGTTTCACTGGCTAGTAAAGAAGCAGCCTCAAAGGATTCCTCAGGTGTGTTCCTAATAGATACATTACTCCTAACTGCACAGCAAATTTGGACAGACACAGTTATTCTTCTAGATGACAAACACTTCTCTGGCAATAGCAGTCATGAGATCAGATAGTGGCCACAGCAAGTTCCTTCAGTTGGGAGCCTGTTCTCACCACTTAGAGCAAGGAGTCTTTGTGTCTCATCCCTAACTTCAGCACAGTATCTTGGTCTTTTCCCAATTCCAGCAATGTGGTATCAGGAGATAGAGTCCCCAGAGAAACACAGCAAAGTATATGCCCAAAACAATGCAAGACTCAGAAACTAGGGAAGACAACACCATACCAATACATAGAGCTAACAGATCATGAATAAAAGCTAGACCAAGCATCAGAAAGTTATGTGAGATATCAGCTGAGATGAGGACCAAGTCAGGCTGGAACCAGAGCAACAAGGGAAAACTGAGAGATGGACATGGCCAGGAAGAAGGTTCTGGAGTCAGAACTAGGAGAAATAGAGGGCAGGACAAGATAGATAGCCAAGAGCTTGGCATTAGGCAAGACAACAGTAAAGAGAAACAAGCCTGAATACCCAGAACCTGGGACACAGCTTTGGCAGGAAGGTCCACTGAGAAGCCACGAGCAACCAGTAGGAGAGCCCCACTTGCCTAAGGAGTGGAAAGAAACACCAGCCAGATTTATGGACCAGCTCTCTGCCAGCTAGAGAGACCTTTAAGTCCCTTAGTGACCAGGACATTGACTGCAGATGAATTCCTGGCTGTTGTATTTGCTTGATCAAAGAACCATCACGGAATGCCTCACCACAAAGAGGAAGAAAGTTCATAGTTGTAGGCTCCAGATTAGAAGATGAACAGGCACATTTCCCAGTCAGCTAAGCTGGCACTTTGTAAAAGTACTAGTACTTATACAAAAGGATGCAAATGCTTTAAGAAGATAATAAAGTGGATTAAATATATTACTCAGTTAATGATTTTCTATCTAATTATGAGATGTTGCTATCAGTTGCTAAACATTGCTTGAGGTTGTCTGCAAGACAGGACAGATGTTTTGTTTTGCTTATTACTCCAGTTATCAGTTTTGTGCAGCTTCACAAGATTTCATTTTCTGTGAGCAATGACTCTATATGCGCCATCCTGACATCCAAAGGCTAAAACGAACCAAATACACAGACACCTTCCATTGTGTTATATCCATCTACATTCATTTCCAAACCACAAGAGTATGGAAGTTAAATGCAAAAGGCTGAAAATATAGAACTTCTTTAATGCCGTGTTTCAGCCAATCATGCAAAAGGAAGCTTAGTCATTTCAGTCTACTAATTAAGGATGGGTTTACTTCTGATTGTCCTGGGCAATATTTTACTTATTGTAAAAACAACAACAACAACTAAATGGGTGCAATCTGAGCAGATGGAAAGTCATCATAGCTGGTAGGTCTGGCTTCACTCCCTCAATCTTTCTGGGAAAACAATAACAGGAACAACACAACAAAGTCCTTCAACCCTTAACTTGAAAAAAGAAATGAAATGGACAACTGTGTAACCTGTGCTAACCTGTTCCAGTGGTTAATGATGGTCATTGTTAAAAATGTCTTTCTTCCATGTCATTTTTGATGTTGTTAACAGGTAGCCACTGACTTTCAGCCTACTACTATCTTTAGCACCAAAGACTCTTTACTAAACTTTGATTTCCCAGAGGTTTTTTACAGACAGCAATCACCTCAGTTGTTAACTGCTTCTTAATTTTACCTGACTCCACTGCACTTCTTGGATTTCTCTATTAGACTTGCTTCACAGTTCTTTAAAGTCTCATTCACTCTGTTTCTATCCACTGAATAATGGAAACAAGGACTGGACATAGAATCCCAGTAGTGGTAACTGTGTTGCCTGATATGGAGATAAGCCAACTCATCCTTGGCAGTTCCTGCTTATACTCTGAAGACCTGCACTAGTCCTGTTTGTCATAGTATCACCCAAAGCTCACATTCAGTAAATCATCACTCCCAGAATCTCTTCAGTGAAAACTGGATTCCTTCAGTTCAATGCCTACTTTCAATGCAGTCTTGGCATCAATATTTTATAGTGATAAAGCACACTACCAATAGCTGTTACAAGCTGCAGCAAGCACGGATTCTACCCAGAGACTGCTGTGAGCCAAACAAAATAGGTTTATTCTCCTCCTCACACACACCATTTATATATATACTACTAATCAAGTTCAAGATGTCTTTAGTTGGCTGGCCTTCTCCCCAACAATGAATTTACTTATCCTGAGACTTGACATCACATCATTTATGAACTTTCTAGCACACAATTTTCCTTTCAGTATATTATGTTTTTACTTTTTGTTGTTGTTTAAAGGCCGCATGTTTATATGGAGAAAGAGGATAAGGGAAGAAGGACAAATCAATCCGGGCTGACTCCAGGATATTATGAAACCAAGCAGATGTAAGTCACAGGGACAACCTCAAAGATGCAGTGAGCTGAGTAAAGGAGCTAAAACAGAATAAAAAATAACAGCCCTCATCCATAAGCAGGAAAAGAATTACTATTGATTTTTTAAAGCTGAAGTTCAAACCAGCACAGAGAAATTTACTGCAAAACTGTTAATGATGACAATTCAATCTATAGCTCATGGTTACTCAGTGAAATTAGTCACTCACTCTTTTCAAGGCTAATGCTAGCAGGACTCAAGTGACAACCTGAGGAGAAACTGTTGTGATAGGCTATCAAACAACCAGAAGCCTTAGGTCATAAAAAGGCTTCAAGCACTTAATCCATGTTGACACAGGATTAAAAATTGTTCATTATTTTATAAAACCAAACACCATCTTATCTAACGGATAACAACATCTACCAGGAACTGGTCTATCATGATTAGCAAATATATAGCTCAATGGGAGTGCTACCAAATATTCCTTTTAGAAGTATTTATGAAGCCCTACATTCTGTTGTGAATTTCTTGACACTGCTCCTCACAAACATGAGATACACTGAAACCAGCTCATACTATACCAGGACAGAGCCTGTAGTTGGTGCAAAGGCTCCCAACCATGATGTATAAGTTCTGTGCCAGAACTGAAGCAGTTGATCAAAACAGTAATATATGTGCAGGTACTGAAAAACTACTACAAGTTTAACCTACAGGAACCAAATCAGATGACGAATGAGATGAAAATAAAGTGAAAAATGGGAATACTCACTCAGTTTTTTGAACAACAGGAAAGCTTCCAAGTCGAACATAAGCACTCTGAATTCCATTTTCTTTCATTCCAAAAATTTGCTTAACGCTGAACGAATCCATAAGGTCAAATCCTGTCCGTAATGGAAATGTAAATATGAGACATTGATCAGGCAGTAGAACATGCCTTTATCTGTACTTAAATAGTTATCTTAGCCCACAGGAACAGCACTTCAGTGATTGGCCTTGTTCTTGTTGGGAAAAGCCAGAATGAAATTCTGACATGGTCTAATCTGCTTAGTTCAAAAACTCAAAACCAAACATTAATTCAAACTGTAACAGATCCTGGAGAGATTACAACAGAGTTCTCCAGAAATAAATAGTTAATGTCTGCATTGCCATAACACCCAGGAAATGCTGTGTAACTCATTAATTCCTATGTAGAAAAATGCACAGGTACAGACTGAAAGACTCATAAAACCATGGAATGGTTTGCTCAGGTTGGAAGGGATTTTCAAAGGTCATCCAGTTCCAACCCCCTGCCACAGGCATGGACACCTTCCACTAGACCATGTTGCTCAGAGCCCCTGTGTCCAGACTGGCCTTGAACACTGCCAAGGATGGAGCATTCACAACTTCCTTGGGCAACCCATTCCAGTGCCTCAGCACCCTCACTGTAAAGAACTTCTTCTTTATATCTAACCTAAACTTCCCCTGTTTCAGTTTGAAGTCATTACCCCTTATCCTACCACTACAGTCCCTAACAAAGAGTCCCTCCCCAACATCCT